ATTTCACTTGGCATTCTTTAACTTGTTCTTCTTCCATGTTCCACTGCAGTAATTGTTTGTATAGTACTTTTATTAATTTTTTTTCCTTCTCCATGATGATGTCCCATGTTCCTTTTTCTTGGTTGAAGCCTAGTTTTTCGTCTTCTTTGAACCCCTCCCTTATTTGGAAATAATTTAGCCATGTAAGCTTCCCATTTAATTTTTTGATTTCCTCGTAGGATTTCAGTTCCATTCTTCCATCTTCCCTTTTTTTAAGTATTTGGAGGTAGGTTAACCAATTTCCTTCTCCTAATTCTCTTTTGTTTTGCTTCGGTCTGTGAGATCCATAATGGGGTACTTCTGAAGAATCTAGCCTTATACTTTTCCCAAGTCTTGATTAAAGCAGCCCTTATGAAGTGGTCACTGAAACTTTTCTCTATTTTCTTTCTACCGTACCATAAATAGCTGTGCCAGCCTGCCCTGAGATCGTGTCCTTCTAAGGTTAGTATATGGCTGTTCGCAAGAGTGGCCCATTCTTTTATAGCCACTAGGTTACAGGCTTCATAATAAATTTTAAGGTCTGGTAACCCTAAACCCCCTCTTTTTTTGTCATCTGTTAATAATTTCATACTAATTCTTGGTTTTCTGTTTTTCCAAATAAATTTTGAGATGCCCGAATTCCATTTTTTAAATAAGAAATTGTTTCGAATTACCGGGATGGTTTGAAATAAAAATAGGAACTGCGGAAGAATCACCATCTTTACAATTGCTATCCGTCCAAAAAAAGATATGTTCTGCCTGCTCCATTTTTCCATATTTTTTTGCATTTTTTTCCATAGGGTTTCATAATTATTTTGTATTAAGGCTGCATTGCTTTTTGTAACATTAATACCTAGGTATTTTATTTTGTTTACTATTTGTAAACCTGTTGTTTTTTGTAGAGTTGTTTTTGTTTTTTCGTCTATATTTTTCACTAGTAGCTTTGTCTTTTGTCTGTTTAATTTGAACCCTGCCAGTACTCCAAAGTCCTCAATCACTTTTAGCCAGTCCTTTATCTTATTTGTTGGTTCTTCAATAAAGCAGACCAAGTCATCAGCGTAGGTTCTTAATTTATAATGCTGTTTCAGAATTCTCAAGCCTTTTAAATTTGTGTCATTGTTTATATTTCTTACCAAGGTTTCCATTACTAGGATAAATAGTCGTGGAGACAAGGGGCATCCTTGTCTCGTGCCCTGGGTTATTTTGATTGGCTTCCTTATTTCCTGTCCGTTAATTATTAAATTTGCTTCTTGCTCTTTATAAATTGCCTCAATTACGTTTCCAAAATGATATCCTGCATCTATTTCTTTTATCAATAATTTCAAAAAATTCCAATTGACTTTGTCGAACGCCTTTTCGGCATCGACAAACAATAGTGCTAATTTTTTCTCATTATGCTTTTCATAATATTCAATTACATTTATTAAGGTTCTTGTATTGTCCTTCAGTTGCCTGTTGGGTAAAAACCCTGATTGCTCTTTCGATATCCATTCTTTTAGGAATTCTTTTAATCTTTCGGCCATAATTATTGTGAAAATTTTATAGTCATTGTTTAACAATGAGATCGAGCGGTAATTTTTTATTTCCGTTGCTTCTGTTCCTTCTTTATGTATTAAAGTTATGTTTGCTCTTTTCCATGACTTTGGGATTATTTTGTTTTCTAGTATGTTATTTGCAATTTCTTGGAGCAGGGGGCTTATCTCATTTTGGAAGGTTTTATAAAAAAGGGCAGTAAATCCGTCAGGACCGGGTGCTTTATTTCTTTTTAGTTTTTTAATGGCCATGTCTATCTCATACATTGAGATTTTCCCGTTTAGTTTTTCTCTCTGTTTCTCTGTTAATTTGGTAATGTTTAGATCGCATAGATACTTAGTTATTTCTCCCATATCAACTTCTGTTTTCTTATAGAGATCTTTATAAAAGGTAGTAAATTCATTGGCAATACTGTCCTCTTCTGTGTATGTTTTCCCTTTTACTTGAATTTTGGTTATTAATTGTTTTTGTTTTTGCTTTTTAATTTTGTTTACTAGCCACCTGCTAATCTTATTCGCATTTTGGAAGTGATTTACTCTGGCATACTTCATTTGTTTCTCCAGACTTTCAGTCTGCAGTAATTGTAGTCGCTTTTGGAGTGAGTTTATAATCAAATTTGTTTTTTTATCTTTGGGGTTTTTTTTGAGTAGAGCTTCATTTTTTTTTGAGTTTTTCTAGAATTTCTTTTGTTTCTCTATTCCTATTTTTTTTATTTATGGCTTCTTGTTGCATTAAATATCCCCTCATGACCACTTTCATCGCTTCCCACTGTGTGGTTTTTGAGGTTTCTTCCCCCTTATTTAGCTCTAAGTATTCTTTTAATAATTTCTTGTTTCTTTCTATGTCCTCTTCTTTTCTTAATAGATGATCTTTCAGTCTCCATCTAAAGACTGTCTCTTTTCCTTTAATTGTAAATTCCACTGCGCAGTGGTCTGAGTGTGTTCTGGCTAGAATATTTATTTTATTTATCCTTAGGTTTAATTATTTGGTTGCCCATACCATGTCTATGCGTGACCAGGAGCTATGTCTTCCAGAGAAGTATGTGTAATCTCTGATTGACCCTTTGTGTTGTCTCCATGTGTCCTGTAAATTTAAATTTTCCAATTGTTGTATACATGCTTTAGGTAATTCGCTCTTTTTATTGGTATTCTTGTTTCTGCTCACTGTATTATTTGATTTGTCTAATGTTGCGTCTGTTACCCCATTGAAATCTCCTAAAATTACCAAGTCATCCCAGTTTTGCTTATCTATTTCTCTTTTCAATTTTTTCATGAATTTTACTTTTGCCCCATTTGGTGAATAAATATTGCAGACTAGTGTTTTTTGATTTTTTTATTTCGATTATTACTCCTACGTACCTCCCGTCTGTGTCTTGGAAGACTTGCTTTGGGTTCAGCCATTCTTTCACGTACGTCACCACTCCTCTCTTTTTCCCATCACATGATGCATAAAACTCTTTGCCTAGTTTCTCATATTTCAAATATTTCGTATGTTTGTTTGCAACATGCGTTTCCTGCAGTGCCACCAGATCCATGTTTTTTTGTTTTAAGAAGTTGAAAATTTTCCTTCTCTTGCTGGGTGCGTTCAATCCATTAACGTTGTTAAAGTGTATTCTTATATGCCTACTCATGATCGTCTTCAGTCATTCTCCATTCCGCGATTTCTTGGGGAGGTATCAGTTGATAGTTTTCTGGTGAAAACTCCCTTAGTCTTTTATTCTCCCTTGTCCCTTCCATGGGGTATAGTTCTTATTCTCAGTGTCCTTGGCCTTGTCTTCTCCTACTGCAGCTTCCCCGTTTCCTAACTTTGTTTCCGATCTTTCTTGTCTTTTAGTCTCTTTTCCTGTTGTGCTGTTGTGGAATTTCCTTTGTGATGGCAGTCATTTGAAGGGTAGCATCTGCGCATACTGCCTGGCTGTCCATCTTCTTCATGAAGAAACTAAAATAAAACCTTGTTTTTTTTGTCTTTCAATGGGACTGTCTCCTTCTTCCCGTGCTCCCGCGACTGGACCTAAAAAGACCCAATTTAGGGTCCCTAACACCTGGAGACTAGGACGTGGAACAATGGCTTCAAACTACAAGAAACGAGATTCCATCTGAACATGAGGAAGAACTTCCTGACTGTGAAAGCCATTCAGCAGTGGAACTCTCTGCCCCAGAGTGTGGTAGAGGCTCCTTCTTTGGAGGCTTTTAAACAGAGGCTGGATGGCCATCTGTCGGGGGAGATTTGAATGCAATTTTCCTGCTTCTTGGCAGGGGGTTAGACTGGATGGCCCATGAGGTCTCTTCCAATTCTTTGATTCTAAGAGAAAGAAAAAGAGAATAAGAAAGAAATGAGGAAAAGGAAGACAAAGGAAAAGAATGAGAGGATAAGGAAGAGAAAGAAAGGAAAAGAATGAGAGGATAAGGAAGAGAAAGGAAAAGAATGGGAGGATAAGGAAGAGAATGAGAGAGAAAAAAGAATAAGGAAGAGAAAGGAAAAGAATGGGAGGGTAAGGAAGAGAAAGAAAGGAAAAGAATGAGAGGATAAGGAAGAGAATGAGAGAGAAAAGAGGATAAGGAAGAGAAAGAAAGGAAAAAAGAGGATAAGGAAGAGAAAGAAAGGAAAAGAGAGGATAAGGAAGAGAAAGGAAAAGAATGGGATAAGGAAGAAAGAAAGGAAAAGAATGGGAGGATAAGGAAGAGAAAGAAAGGAAAAGAATGAGAGGATAAGGAAGAGAAAGAAAGGAAAAGAATGAGAGGATAAGGAAGAGAAAGAAAGGAAAAGAATGAGAGGATAAGGAAGAGAAAGAAAGGAAAAGAATGAGAGGATAAGGAAGAGAAAGAAAGGAAAAGAATGAGAGGATAAGGAAGAAAGAAAGGAAAAGAATGGGAGGATAAGGAAGAGAAAGAATGGAAAAGAATGAGAGGATAAGGAAGAGAAAGAAAGGAAAAGAATGAGAGGATAAGGAAGAGAAAGAAAGGAAAAGAATGAGAGGATAAGGAAGAGAAAGGAGAAGAGTGAGAGGATAAGGATGAGAAAGGAAAAGAATGAGAGGATAAGGAAGAGAAAGAAAGGGAAAGAATGGGAGGATAAGGAAGAGAATGAGAGAGAAAAGAGGAAAAGAAAGTGAGAGAAAGGAAATGAGAGAGAAAAATGAAAGAAAGGAGGGAGAAGGGGAGAAAGAGAACTTTCTATCCTCCACTTAATGGGGGAAAATAAAAATCTCGTGACGGGGTGGGCCTGAATGGGGAACCACTCGAAGGTGGACACCAACTTGTCACAAAAGCAAAGCGAGGGTGAGCCTCGCGCAAAAACTGTGTTCACACGTCACAGGGCGCGCGCCTCTTAGAACTGAACAGCACCAGCGTCAAAGGATGCTTCTCTTAGCTCCGCCCCTCGTTGTCGTCATAGCTAGGGTAGAGTCACAGGCGGACGATGGACTGTTCGCGCATGCGCAAGGAAGGCCTCGCTTCAGAAGAGAGAAACCAAACCAGACGAGAGCCGGAACCGGAAGTGGTGCTCCTGGTAGCTATGGCGGCGCACTTAGCAACGCGGCTCTAAGAAGAAGAGGCTCGCTTGTGAGGGGAACTGGTGGGAAGGCGGAAGCGAGGGCGCGGAGGGATGGCGGAGAAGTTCGACTCCCTGGAGGAGCACCTGGAGAAGTTCGTGGAGAACATCCGGCAGCTCGGCATCATCGTCAGCGACTTCCAGCCCAGCAGCCAGGCGGGCCTCAACCAGAAGCTGTGAGCGCCTCCTCAGCCATTTCCCCACACAACCCTTGCTTGATTCAGCAATTATCATTATTAGTATTATTATTAATATTTTATTATTTTACTTATATCCCGCTTTCCTCCCAAAATAGTATCCCAAGCGACTGATGCTAATGTAAAAACATACTCTTACATAGAATCATAGATTTGGAAGAGACCCCATGGGCCATCCAGTCCAACCCCCTGCCAAGAAGCAGGAATATTGCATTCAAATCACCCCTGACAGATGGCCATCCAGCCTCTGTTCAAAAGCTTCCAAAGAAGGGGCCTCCACCACACTCCGGGGCAGAGAGTTCCACAGTTGAACGGCTCTCACAGTCAGGAAATTCTTTCTCATGTTCAGATGACAGATGGAATCTCCTTTCTTGTAGTTTGAAGACATTGTTCCGCATCCTAGTCTCCAGGGAAGCAGAAAACAAGCTTGCTCCCTCCTCCCTGTGGCTTCCTTTCACATACTTAGACAGGGCTATCATATCTCCTCTCAGCCTTCTCTTCTTCAGGCTAAACATGCCCAGCTCCTTAAGCCGCTCCTCATAGGGCTTGTTCTCCAGACCCTTGATCATTTTAATCGCCCTCCTCTGGACACATACCAGCTTGTCAATATCTCTCTTGAATTGTGGTACCCAGAACTGGACACAATATTCCAGGTGTGGTCTAACCAAAGCGGAATAGAGGGGTAGCATTACTTCCCTAGATCTAGACCAGGGGTCCTCAAACTAAGGCCCGAGGGCCGAATACGGCCCTCCAAGGTCATTTACCCTGCCCTCATTCAGGGGCAACCTAAGTCTGAAATTACTTGAAAGCACACAAAAACAACAACAGCAACAATCCTACCTCATCTGCCAAAAGCAGGCCCACACTTCCCACTGAAATACTAATAGGTTTATATTTGTTAAAATTGTTCTTCATTTTAATTATTGTATTGTTTTAAAGTGTTTCTTGCACTACAAATAAGATATGTGCAGTATGCATAGGAATTATTTTGTGCTTTTTAAACAAATTTTAATCCGGCCCTCCAACAGTTTGAGGGACTGTGACCTGGCCCTCTGTTTAAAAAGTTTGAGGACCCCTGATCTAGACACTATGCTCCTATTGATGCAGGCCAAAATCCCATTGGCTTTTTTTGCCGCCACATCACATTGTTGGCTCATGTTTAACTTGGTGTCCACGAGGACTTCAAGATCTTTTTCACACCTACTACCCTCGAGCCAGGCATTGTCCCCCATTCTGTATCTTTGCATTTCGTTTTTCCTGCCAAAGTGGAGTATCTTGCATTTGTCACTGTTGAACTTCATTTTGTTAGTTTTGGCCCATCTCTCTAGTCTGTCAAGATAGTTTTGAATTCTGCTCCTGTCCTCTGGAGTATAGAATCATAGAGTTGGAAGAGACCTCGTGGGCTATCCAGTCCAACCCCCTTGGCAAGAAGCAGGAAAATCGCATTTAAAGCACTCCCGACAGATGACCATCCAGCCTCTGTTTAAATGCTTCCAAAGAAGGAGCCTCCACCACACTCTGGAGCAGAGAGTTCCACTGCCGAACAGCTCTAACAGTCAAGAAGTTCTTAGTGTTCAGGTGGAATCTCCATTCCTGTAGTTTGAAGCCATTGTTCCGCTTCGTAGTTTTCAGGGCAGCAGAAAACAAGCCTTCTCCCTTCTCCCCATGACTCCCCTTCACATCTTTTACATAAGTTAAAAAGGAATTAAATAGGCTAACAATGGTTAAAAACACTATTTTAAACCAAAGACCATTTGAGATCTCAAGAAGCAGTTGGCAAAGTAGTGCTCATTTCCCTAATTAATTTTAAGAATTTAGTGTTGCTCAGATTATAGTCCAATCCATTAAGTGGTTTGCCTATTATGGAACTGTAGCCCCTTCTACACAGCTGCATAAAATCCAGACTATCTGCTGGGTTATATGGAAGTGTTACTTACTTAGGCGATCCCTCGTTGGCTGAGTAAGATAGTCTTCCAGAATCAGTATTCTTGTGGGTCCGTATGTGGCTGTGGAGCACTATTCTTGACCTGCATCTTCTCCTGCAGTGAGGGCATTGGTTTCCAGGTGGAAGCCGGTCTCGGTCGGGGTTGGCTTGACACACCTTCCTCAAAGATTGTTCCTGAATCTGTCTCTTCAAATGTCTGCCCATCTTCGGCTGATACGGCAGCTGCACCCCTTGCTAAAGATAGCAGTGCTGGTAACCTTAAGGTTGGACTTCCGCAGTGCACTGTACGTTGGGCTACTTCTGTATCAAGTTTGGAAACTCAAATTAGTTCAGAAAATGGAAGCCAGATTGATTACAGGAACATCTCGGAGTGAGCATATCACACCCATGCTGAAGTTAGTCCACTGGTTGCCAATGGGTTTCTGGGCAAACTGTTGGGTACAACCATTAAAGCCCTACATGGTTTGAGTCCAGGTTAACTACAGGCAGGCCTGTAGCGGGGGGGGGGGGGGGGGGGGGGGGGGGGGGTGTTAGGGGTTCAACCCCCCCCCCAAATGTTTCAGATTTTTTAAAAACCTGGTTTACTCATGAATTTTAACTGGTTAACCAAATCCCCATGCTAAGTCTATGAGATGCAAAAAATTAAGAGTCCCTCCAGAACTGCAAGCACTATCTCAAGCAAATATTGACAATTTATTCACACTGTCATTACTTGCAGCAATAGCTGATGTAGTGAAGCAACCAAGTTGGGGGTGTGTGTGTTGAATGCTCTCATTAAGGAGGCCAGACTTGGTGGAGGTGGTTGACAGGGGCGGAGCTGCAGGCTATTGAAGGCTGCTCTGCCCCCTGCTGTGTTCTTTGCTTCAGCGTGAGCTAGGAGGCAGGTTTCACCCCCCCCCCCCAAATTTCAACCCCTCCCAAAAATTTTTCTGGCTACGGCCCTGATTGTCACCTTGAAAATTTTGTTCATTCGTTCAGTCGTTCCCGACTCTTCGTGACTCATGGACCAGCCACGCCAGAGCTCCCTGTCGGCCGTCCACCCCCAGCTCCTTCAAGGTCAAGTCCAGTCACTTCAAGGATCATCTATCCATCTTGCCCTTGGTCGGCCCCTCTTCTTTTCCTTCCATTTCCCAGCATAATTGTCTTCTCTAGGCTTTGCTGTCTCCTCATGATGTGGCCAAAGTACTTCAACTTTGTCTCTAGTATCCTTCCCTCCAATGAGCAGTCGGGCTTTATTTCCTGGAGGATGGACTGGTTGGATCTTCTCGCAGTCCAAGGCACTCTCAGCACTTTCTTCCAGCACCACAGCTCAAAAGCATCGATCTTCCTTCGCTCAGCCTTCCCTAAGGTCCAGCTCTCACATCCGTAGGTTACTACAGGGAAGACCATGGCTTTGACTAGGCGGATCTTTGTTGCCAGTCTGATGTCTCTACTCTTACTATTTTATCGAGACTGGACATTGCTCTCCTCCCAAGAAGTAAGCGTCTTCTGATTTCCTGGCTACAGTCTGCATCTGCAGTAATCTTTGCACCTAGAAATACAAAGTCTGTCACGGCCTCCACGGTTTCTCCCTCTATTTTCCAGTTGTCAATAATTCTTGTTGCCATAATCTTGGTTTTTTTGACGTTTAGCTGCAACCCGGCTTTTGCGCTTTCTTCTTTCACCTTGATTAGAAGGCTCCTCAGCTCCTCCTCGCTTTCGGCCATCAGAGTGGTGTCATCTGCATATCTGAGGTTGTTAATGTTTCTTCCAGCAATTTTCACCCCAGCTTTGCATTCATCCAACCCCGCACATCGCATGATGTGTTCTGCATACAAGTTAAAAAGGTTGGGTGAGAGAATGCAGCCTTGCCGTACGCCTTTCCCAATCTTGAACCAGTCTGTTGTTCCGTGGTCAGTTCTGACTGTTGCTACTTGGTCCTTGTACAGATTCCTCAGGAGAGAGACAAGGTGGCTTGGGATGCCCATCCCACTAAGAACTTGCCACAATTTATTATGATCCACACAGTCAAAGGCTTTAGAATAGTCAATGAAGCAGAAGTAGATGTTTTTCTGAAACTCCCTGCCTTTCTCCATTATCCAGCGGATATTGGCAATCTGGTCTCTCGTTCCTCTGCCTTTTCTAAACCCAGCTTGAACATCTGGCAACTCTTGCTCCATGTATTGCTGGAGTCTTCCTTGCAGGATCTTGAGCATTACCTTACTGGCATGAGAAATAAGGGCCACTGTACGGAAGTTTGAGCAGTCTTTCGCATTTCCCTTTTTTGGTATGGGGATATAAGTTGATTTTTTCCAGTCTGATGGCCATTCTTGTGTTTTCCATATTTGCTGGCATATGGCATGCATCACCTTGACAGCATCATCTTTCAAGATTTTAAACAGTTCAGCTGGGATCCCGTCGTCTCCTGCTGCCTTGTTGTTAGCGGCCCTGATTACAGGATTGCTTTTTCACATATAATCTGCCCCTTATGGCACTGAGGTCCTCTGGGGGACTCTTACTCTAGCCATCCAGAACCCGACTAGTGACCATCACCCAGAGGACCTTTTTCTTGGCCACCTCAGGACTTTAGAACGACCTGCCAGAAGAGCTCTGATAGCTAATTGAATTATTAGAATTTAAAACCCATTTGATGATCCATCTCTTCTGGCAGGCCTACCCAGTCAGCTTTGAGTCATGAATTTTGGATTTACATTCGGTTGCTGCTATATGTTGATCTTTGTACTCCGTGTTTTTTAAAAAAAACAGTGTATTTGATATATGTATTTTATTGTACGTATTTTATGTTGATATGTTTTGACTTTGTTGTACGCTGCCTCGAACCAATAGGAGAGATATATTTATTTATTGTGTCAGGGGCAACCAGACCATTAGGAGAGATGGGCAACAAATAAATTGCATTATTATTGTTGTTGTGATTGTTGTTATTATTATTATTAGATACATAATATTATTATTTACTTTATTTATATACCGCTTTTCTCAGCCCTCAGGCGACTCAAAGCGGTGAGATAATAAGATTAGTACAGAGCAAACAAGATCACTATGGTGATTTTTTTTGTATTTGATCATATGTCTGACACTTCCCAAGTGTCTAGGACTGTGTGATGTATGCGTATTGAATGATGTATTGAATAATGCGTGCAAATCCAAATAGGGTAGCCTTTTGCAGCTGACAGATGGTAATTTTGTCAGTGCCAATTGTTTTTAAGTGCAGGTCAAGGTCTTTAGGAACTGCACTCAGTGTGCTGATCACCACTGGGATCACCTTTACTGGCTTGTGCCAGAGTCTTTGCAGTTCGATCTTTAAATCATCTTCATCATCATCATTGTTGTTGTCGTCATTTTTCTCACCTGTCCTAGATTACATGTAGACATAGACGGATGCATCCCAGTCTAATATTGCTCAGGTTAACATGCCTTTGACAAATAGTGGTTAGCTCAAATCTCATTGATTTCAGTGAGTCTGCTTGGAGTCCCTTAGTTTGTGTAACCCTATTTAAAAGACATATGATCATGTTTAAGGAAGAAGAATAAATCTGCCAATCCTTGTTTTATGTTTGGTGACACATCCATTTGGTACAGTTCCTGGGGCAGAGCTTGCTTGATGGTGCATCCCTCCTATAATGTGTCTGATTTGTTTCTGCCTAGGAATTTCATGGTTACAGGCTTACAAGATATTGACAAGTGCCGACAGCAGCTTCATGAAATCAGTGTGCCTTTAGAAGTCTTTGAGTAAGTGTTTCTATTTTATCTTCACAGCTGATATCTTTCTCAAATGCCTGTTGGTATTACTAAAAAAGAACAGTTTTGTAATATTTTATGTTTACTGCTGAATGGTAGAAAGTCCATTTTTATTACCTAGTGGAAGTGAGTAGTTGCAAATTCTTAATATGAAGGTGTGGAGTTGATGTGCATGACTTTTCAAGAATCATTTAATAGAATTATTTAATATTAATACTTTCCCCTAATTCTTTGTGTTCTGAACCCAGATCTACTTCTAGGAATGTTTATATATATATATATATTAATTTTTTCCTGCTCCTACCATTTATTTTAAACAACAGTACACACAGTATTTCCAGATGCTAAGAGTAGACTGGTCATATTGGATTGATTCTTAGTAGTTTGTGTATGCGATCAGATGCTTAGTGATAATACAAGAATTTGCTAATAAAATATTCTTGAATATACTGTAGGTACAAGGCATACTCTAGTGTGCTTCAGTAAATGACTTGAATGTTTTATACATGTTTACTTTACACCATATGTGAACTGTTTATCAAATTTGACTTATAAAACTTTTTTCCTTAGATATATAGATCAAGGCCGCAATCCTCAGCTTTATACTAAAGAGTGCTTGGAAAGGGCTCTCGCTAAAAATGAGCAAGTAAAAGGCAAAATAGATACAATGAAGGTAAGATTTAAGTATTTCTGACAAATCTCTTGTTGCTTTATAACTAAACATTTTACATGGGCTGTTTATTTATTTATTTATTTATTTCGCGCATTTCTACCCCGCCCTTCTCAAACCCCGAGGGGGGACTCAGGGCGGCTTACAAAAGGCACAATTTGATGCCAACAATAGACAATAAGATAAAACATGTATCAACAGCAATTATAAAACAGTTAAAACAATCAAGTTATACATCACAATCAATAAAAACCAATCTAATATTCAACGTTCGCCAGCTCAGAATCCGTAAGTTCATTCCACATTGTCAAATCCTATCAATTCTAGTCGTCATTGTCCTGTGTCTGTCTGCCAGATTACCCAAAGGCTTGGTCCCATATCCATGCTTTTAGTTTCCTTCTAAAAGAGAGAAGGGATGTTGATGACCTAGATATATTTGCCATGAAACTATCAGGCTTGATTTAGTTACATTACAGTTCTGTTTATATGGACACTAGTGCTAGTGGAAGCTTTTAAAAATCGAGATTTGTGGTGGTGGGAGATGGAGTGTGTTTGAAAGCAGGGGAGTATTAATGAGTGGTGTCTGAGCCATTGTTGTGGGGTTTCATATCATAAGTGAGGTGATGCATGCCCGTTTTGAGATGTGGTCTTGCCTACTGCCGATATGTTTCCCTGATACATTTGCCTCAACCAATATGCCCCTTCTCTAGAAACGTTCAAAAAGAACCTTAAAACCTGGCTCTTCCGCTGCGCCTTTGGTGAGTAGGTGCACAATATGACACCATTGCACCCTTAACGTTCTTCCCACTGGAATACACTCCCTCAAAATGGGAAGTTTAGCTGCACAACTATGGGTGTTTTTATGAGTTCCCTGCAGATAACTTGCTCCTATTTTTATCTCATTAGAGTCTTTGAATTGTTTTTATCCTGTACATGTGGCCTGCCCATTGTTATTGTGATTATGTTTATTGAAATGTTATTTTATTACTGTGTTTATATATTTTTTTCTTTTCTTGATGTAATTTGATGGTGTTGTTTATTGTTTATGTTCTGGTTTTATCTTGTTGTATATGTTGTCCAGGCTTGGCCCCATGTAAGCCGCTCCGAGTCCCCATTGGGGAGATGGGGGTGGGGTATAAATAAAGATTGTTGTTGTTGTTGTTATTATTATTATCTTGAACCCAAAATAGCTCCCAACCCCAAATTAAATGGTAGGACTTAAATCAGAACAATATATAAAGAGTTATAAGTAAAGACTAAATCTCCATCACATCCGTTTTGGTGACCAAGATCCAAAGACCCCTATGATCAGTTTGTATGCCTCGGGGTTCTTTGGGTTCTCTTCCTCAAAAACAGGAGTTCTTTGTACTTCTGTGACAAATGCCTTGAAAAACTGAGAGAACTTCTAAAAGCAAATTGGGGCATGTTTTTTAGGAAGTCACAAGCCCCATTGAGGCTCCCCGAGGCAGCTTTTGACATCTGAGCAATTTAATTTTTTTATATTTCACAGATTAGGAAACAAGACTGAGAGGCTGAAAAATAGATTAGTGTTTGTTTCATGGTTTACAGTCGGACAATTCACCATTATTTTACTATTGAGAAAACACAGTCTGCTTAACAGGTGTTACTGGTTGATTGTTGGGTTCTGTTATTTTCAGATCTAGTGGAAGGCGTGATTCTGGTATGATTTTCTTTTCTTTCTTTCTTAGAAATTCAAAAGCCTATTGATTCAAGAGCTAACGAAAGTGTTCCCAGAGGATATGGCTAAATATAAAGCTATTCGGGGTGAAGATCCTTCTCCTTAATTACATTATTTGTGTCCTGCCTCTTTCTCCAAACACTGCCAGTGGGCTATTGTGACAGCATTTGACTTCATCTTGGGGAATTAAGACATTGTATCCAATTGAGGTATTATTACCTACTGTTTTTCTTGACCAGAATGGAAGCCGATTCTCCTGTGCTATATGTGAGGCCATTAAAGGTTCTTTGGCACTTTCAGTAAGAAGCTAATCTTCCCTTTGATGTGACTTCAAGCCCATCTGTGAGCCAGAAGCCAGCAGCTATGCTTTTTGTAAAATGCTGTTTAAATTATTCAGCTTCTTTGTCTCATGCAAAGTACGGTGGGGTCAGGGAGGTGACTTCTGCTGAGGCGCTGCAATGTACAAAATGAAGTAAAATAAAGATGTTGTCTTTCTTTGAGTAAAGTTTGAGCGTGTTTCTTTCTTGTTTTTGGATCTGTTGGACCACAGTTGTGGTTTGACATGGTTAATCAAAAAAAGTCATCTTCTGAAATTTTACATCTGAATTATTTTACAACCTTAATAGATAGGTTTTGAAATATGTTTTTCCTCACTTGTGATCTGTGGTTTTCTCTAATACTGTGTTTCTCAACCTTCCTTATGCCGCAACTCCTTAATACAGTTTCTCATGTGGTGACCCCCAACCATAAAATTATTTTCGTTCCTACTTTATAACTGTAATTTTGCTACTGTTATGATTTGTAATGCATATATCTGATTTGCAGGATGTATTTTCATTCACTGGACCAAATTTGGAACATATACCCAAATTTGAATATTGGCGGGGTTGGGGAGGAAATTATTTTGTCATTTGGGAGTTGTAGTGGTTGGGATTTATAGTTCACCTACAATAAAAGAGCATTCTGAAGTCCACCAATGATGGAATTGAACCAGACTTGGCACACAGAACTCCCATGACCAGCAGAAAACAATGGAAGGGTTTGATGGGCATTGACCTTGAGTTTTAGAGTTGTAGTTCACCTACATCCAGAGAGCACTGTGGACTCAAATAATAATAGATCAGGACCAAACTCGGCATGGATATTCAATATGCTCAAATGTAGATACTGGTGGAGTTTGGGGAAAATAGACATTGACACTTGGGAGATATAGTTACTGGGATTTATAGTTCATCTACAATCAAAGAGCATTCTGAACCCCACCAACAATAGAATTGGGCCAGACTTCCCACACAGAACTCCATGACCAACAGAAAATATTGTGTTTTCTGATGGTATTTGGTGACCCCTCTGACACCCCATCGCGACCCCCCCAGGGGTCCCGACCCCCAGGTTGAGAAACACTGCTCTAATACCTAAAATGGCAGGGCTCATAAGCATGGCAACAAACTGCTTAAATTTTCTCCATAAAATGGTTTACATCTGCTGTATTTATATATAGTTATAAAAATCCCACAAATGTTAACTGCGTGATGCAGCAGTTATTACTGGGTTATATCGAAATAAACCATCATGAATAAACAAGGCACACAAGTTGCATTTAATTCAATGTTTTTTCAGTAGTGTTCACTAAAGTAGATATATAAAATGCCAACTCGTTTTTGAGAGCAAACCTTTCTCCTGAAGGAAGGCATGAGGTACTGATGTTCAGTGACATAGGTCTCAGATTTAGTGGCTATGGCTTAACTGTTTTCATTCATCCAGTTTCTACCAGTTTATGTACAGTACTCAGCTGTTGAAGGCCTCAGACACTGGGATCGAGGCTTCCCAATTGTTAGTAAAGATTCACTGTGTGATTTTTGAGGCATATATTTTGCTCACTGGAGGCAGCCAAACATGAATTAGACTCTTGCTCTGTATGATGATGATTATGATGATTATGTGACCCCGTTGGTTCTCTTGGACATCTCAGCGGCTTTCGATACTATCGATCATGGTATCCTTCTGGGACGACTCTCTGGGATGGGCCTTGGAGGTACGGCTTTGTCGTGGCTCCGGTCCTTCCTGGAGGGTCGATCCCAGATGGTGAAGCTGGGAGACGCCTGCTCGGACCCCTGGCCTTTGACCTGTGGGGTCCCGCAAGGCTCCATTCTGTCTCCCATGCTTTTTAACATCTACATGAAACCGCTGGGAGAGGTCATCCGGAGTTTTGGAGTTGGGTGCCATCTCTATGCAGATGACACACAACTCTACTACTCTTTTCCACCTAACTCCAAGGAAGCCCCTCGGGTGCTGGACGAGTGCCTGGCCCTGTGGCTGTCGGATGAGGACGAACAAGCTGAAGATCAATCCCGACAAGACAGAGGTCCTCCTGGTCGATCGTAAACCGGATCGGGTATAGGGTGGCAACCTGTGCTGGACGGGGTTACACTCCCCTTGAAAGCACAGGTCCACAGTTTGGGAGTCCTCCTGGATTCTTCACTTACGTTTGAGGCTCAGGCATCGGTGGTGGCCGGGAGGGCCTTTGCACAATTAAGACTCGTGCGCCAACTGCGACCGTACCTCAGGAAGGCGGATCTGGCCAAGGTGGTCCACGCCTTAGTCACCTCTAGACTGGATTACTGCAATGCACTCTACGTGGGGCTGCCCTTGAAAACGGCCCGGAAATTTCAGATGCTCCAACGGGTGGCAGCCATGTTGTTAACTGGGGCTCCTTACAGGGAGCGGTCAACCCTCCTGTTCAAGGAGCTCCACTGGCTGCCATTCATTTTCCGGACCCAATTCAAGGTGCAGGTTCTTACCTACAAAGCCCTGAAAGGTTTGGAACCCGCCTACCTGCGTGATTGCATCTCTGTATACGAACCCACACGATCTCTTCAATCATCTGGAGAGGCCTTGCTCTCGATCCCACCAGCATCGCAAGCGCGATTGGTGGGGACGAGAGAGAGGGCCTTTTAGGTGGTGGCTCCTCGACTCTGGAACTCACTCCCTAGGGACATCAGGCAGGCTCCAATTCTGGCAGTCTTTAGGAGGAGCTTGAAGATGTGGTTGTTCCAGTGTGCCTTCCCGGAATAATGATCCCTGCTTGCATGTTTTCCACAAACGCCACTACCACCTTTTCGCCCATGCTCCAGCATTATTTTCAATTTTTATTTTACATTTGGCCTTCCCACAGTTTTAATTGTGTGTTATCTTATAGTTAATGTTGCATATCTTATTGTCCATGTTTTTTAATTTTAATTGCTTTTATTGTTATTATTGTGTGTATTGTTGTATTTGGCCTCGGCCTCATGTAAGCCGCACCGAGTCCCTTGGGGAGATGGTAGTGGGGTACAAATAAAGTATTATTATTATTATTATTATTACTATGATAATAATAATCTTTATTTATACCCCGCCACCATCTCCCCAATGGGGACTCGGAGTGGCTTACATGGGGCCAAACCCAGGACAACATGTTACAGCAAAATAAAATCAAAACATAAACAACAAGCAACATAATCAAAATTATATAGAAGAAAAAAAAGTATAAACACAGTAACAAAATAACATTCTAATAAACACAATCACGATAAAAGTGGGCGCTCCACATATACAGGATTAAATGATTAAAAGACTCTAATGAGATAAAAAGGGCCAGGCAGCTTCCCGTGGACAGCAGCTCCCACTGTGGCTCCATTAAGATGCACAGCTACTCACCTTTTTCTGAGTGATGGGAAATGCATTTTTCATAGTTCCAGATCCTTTCTGGTTGTGTGCTTCTAGACTCTACTCCTTTCCCATCCTGATGCAGTTATTATGTCTTATATAAGCTCCTATCCCTACTTGCAAGGGGTAGTTTAATGATTTTTCATCTTTCTCCCTACTTCCTCAGTGTCTGGATTTGTTTTAATATGTGAGTACAGGGGTCTTGTGAAGTTGCAGAGTTTCAGTTTTCCTGTTTATTCCATAAGTGAAAAAGTGAGATGCACAAATGAAAATTTCATTGTATTTATTGACATGTTCTTTTTGGCGATGCTCTCTGGCCGGATACCATCCTGAGCATTGTTCATAGTAGTTGGTGCTGATAAGTCCTGAATTCCAAAACATTTGTCTGAAGGCCAATTGGTTCTTTGTCTGAACTGCATTGCTTCACCCCCAGTTTGTGCATGTCAAGTAATTTTTTGATATTAGCGAATGGCTTTTGGCCATGAAGAAATTATGTGGTTTTCTGTTTAAAGTCCTTTGTTACTGAACATGTCAGCTACAGTTGCCACTGAGGAAAGTGTTTTTACAGCTACACTTCTACAAGGTGTCCATGGCACACTCTGTGGACATCACTAACCCTATTTTGAAAAAGGAGATGGAGTTATATTTTTAACAAGGAAAAATTGTGGACATTAAACTGCTCTATACTTAGGAAAGAAATTAAAATATCATGAGTTAGGTAAGCAATGTACTAATTTAGCATAAAATTGGATCATTTTCCCTATGATATTTTATAAGGTATCAGAGTCCGTTACTTTAGTACAAATAAGGGACAATTTCCCATTTCTTATTTGCAGCTATATATTCTTACAGTGGACTTTCCTTCTATCCTTATATGCCTGTTGTATGCTCTGGAGCAGTGGTTCTCAACCTGAGGGTCCCCAGGTATTTTGTCCTACAACTCCCAGAAATCCCAACCAGTTTACCAGCTGTTAGGATTTCTGGGAGTTGAAGGCCAAAACATCTGGGGACCCACAGGTTAAGAACTACTGCTCTGGAGGGCTTTCCAGCCATATCTATCATATTGTCAGGGCTACAGAGGGTCAATGTCACAGTGAGCTTCCCATCATAGTAGCAGAAGGACACCTGCAGTGTATGATCCTATAGCTACTGGATAATATATATGCTTCCGTGGGGATGAGACCAATTTATTAAAGGCTGTGGCATTTCAGACTGATCTGTATTTGCCCTCCATATTACTATATTTGCTTTTTCTCATTTTTTGCTATCTTCAAATTTCACAACCAGCTTTGTAATTTTATTGTATGTTACCATTGCAGTAAAAGGGGAAGATATACATTGTGCTTGTAACAAATTACATTTTTACTCTTTGCTCTGTTAGCAGCCTCTCCCTCCCATCTTAAAGGTTGCTTCTTTTAGAAATGATGCATTTCTAAACGCACTATCATTCAAACACAAGGAGATATTTTAAGAGATACCATGTTATGGGATATGTGCCCAAGCTACTAAGGAAACTAGTTTAGTTCCGATTGCAGGTGAAATTATAGAAATCACACTGTGATGTCCTATCAGAGCAAACCACCAGTTATGAATCTTGTTTCAGGTGGCTGTCAGATGGCTTGAGGAATCAAAAAACAAAACAAAATAGAACTTTAAGCTGTAACTCTTTCCCAGTGTGATCTAGCAACTCCTATTTAGTAACATATAATTTCTCATTCTCAAGGTACATGTAACTATGACTTGTAGTTTTTGAAACACACCTTATGGCTAGGTTCTTGTGGGTTTTTTCGGGCTATA